GGAAGACGATCTTACCTGCACAGCTGTTGGAGAAACAACTCCGCGTGGTGGACCTGGTGTTGCAGTTCGGGAAGCATCAATAAATGCACTAAATGGTTTTTTGGAATGAGAAGAATCTTCGCTTTTGCTTCCCTTAGACGATGATGGAGGTGTGACTTCCTCTTCGAATTTCGGTCGTACTAGAATAGATTGATCCGTTATCAGTAACGGAGGAAACACAATTATGATTCAACAGATGAAGAAGTTCTAACGCACGATCGGTCAAACTTGATGAAGACGAGAGCGTACCTTCCGAACCACCGGAGATTCGTTTCATTGTTTCGGCTGAAACTGTACCATCTTCTAATCACATCGGAAAGAAAAATTTCGAAAGAGCTCACGACATGTTTGCGATTACTCACAGAATTTACGCCCATTTTTTTCACTTGCCATCATTGACTGATATGAACGACGACATTTTGTCGAACAGTACTGTGGGGTAGACACTGAGCGTTCCTTCTAAAGCAGAAACCTGATTTCAAAACATGTTAGGTAAATGAAGGCTCACCTCTTTGAAAGAAACTTGACAGTATAGGCACCGATCTTCTGGTGAGTCTTCAGAGGCGGGTAACATGCGCATGCTTACGGTCGGTGTATTCAGGACCGCCAACTCCTTTTCTCTCTCCTTCTCCTTCTCTTTATCTTTTGATTTGTCATGTTTTCCACTACCTAACGTGCAGTAAACATATTGCAAACGTCTTCATAAATGCAACTTCGCCATGTCAGAGGGTTTTGACAATCTAATCGCGAATGTAGCATATGAAAGATAGGTGAAAGATGTAACAATCCTCTTTACATTTAAGAGCGGAATTCAAGGAGAGTGCATTCTTCTCCTAAGTGAATTCATATTTCATATGCGTAACACTTGGACCTCAATCGGTATTAGACCGTTCCCTTCAAGAACTAATACAAAGTTCCAGAGGTGCTTTAGTAAGAAGCACCTGTTGATTAATGCTTGAAAAAAGCTAGTAGAAAAACTACGATTATATTTCTTCCAAAACCAAGAGGAGAGAGAGAAATGAAGTTTGAGAAAATAATGATAATCTGATAGAGGTGGAAAATCTAGGATATTAGAACCTTTGTCACGCTCTATAGCAGGAATAAAATGAAACCCACTTCTCTTCGACGAATGACTGTGAGTATCCGAAGAGTCAACCGAGGATCGAGAACGCTCAGCTTTCACAGGACTTTCGTTGACTGTCGATTGAGTGGTCCGTTTCTTCTGCTTCGTTCGTGACTTATCTGCATGGTCGCCTTTGTCATGTTCGTCGCCAGTTTCTGATGAAAGACGTTTTTCCTTGTCAAGTACACTTTTTCTTTTCTCCGTATCCAGGATACGCCTTCCACAATCTTTCGGCCCAAAATCCATACTTAAAAGCAACTCTAGCTCATTTGTCCTTCTTCGCGGTGGATGGTGTACTGGTGTTGCACGACGATTCTGGGTTAAGAACAAATGTTATGGAACTAAGCAGTAATACAAATTTAGATACCTTGCACTGCTTTCGTTCCTCGAAATGCTCTTCAGATACATTTTCAGGCTCCTCCTTCTTTGGTTTGATATTACGAACTTCACTTTGATTGGTTGATCTTCGAGTGCGAGCTGGTACTTTTCTTTTACTCTCATTTTCAGTCTCCACTTTTGTTGGTGTTGCCTGTCTAGTGGGTTTACCCAATATATCCTTCTCCTTTGCAGCTAGAAATCAAGAAGAAAGTCTCTCATATTATCAACTACTTCAGAACACAGGCTTAGATAACTTACCCTTTTCGTCAACTTTATTCTTCACGTCGATGTCCGCGATGAGCGGCATAATGTCATCCAAAACCTCAGAAGAGACTAGCTCGGTAATTTTGTCATACTGAGCAAGTGGAAAAGGAACATCTGACTCCTATAAACTGTCCAGATAATAAGAAGCTTAAAAAGAAGCGAGATACAGGTTAATAACAAATATAAATTCTAGGTAATAGGAAAGTTTTTTTCCAAACCATTCCTTCAAATCCAGGTACAAACCTCAATAGTGAAACCATCCATGTAATGCACTAACGGTTTTCCACAACCACCACCCCTTGCTCGAAATGCCAGTGCTTCTCTAACAAATATCGATTCTAAGGATTTGGCTGCATCTGAGACTGGAGGAGGTGATGGATCATCTACTGAGTCTCCTGCAACAAATTACATATCAAAATGAAACAAATTATAGAATGCTAAATTTAGAGTCAGAAATGTTACCAACCCCTATCCAACGCTGGAGGTGCATCGCCTGCCATGTCTGGGCTTTCAGTACCACAAGAAGCACTGTCAGCTCTACCCTTTTCGTCCATACCGAGTGCTAAGTACTCCCCCACGCTCATTTCTCCTGATCCGCTTTCCGGACGACGTTTTTTACAGCGACTTGTTATTGCTTTCTAAAGAAAAAATCCTATCAGTAAGTCTCGAGTAATGTAATGAGACTACGATCTGCTCTGATCAAGGAGGGATAAGCTCCAACACCGTTTTTTAAAACATGACACGTAGATAGCTTCAATTACGCATAACATTTTGAATGACCCCAAACTGTTACCTTTTCATAATCCATTCACTTGCATTCACATAGCACAGTATAAAATACACAAGATCAGAGGTTTCGTACACAAAATTGAAGTATTGTTTTAAAAAAAAAGAGGTGAGCATAGATAATCGTCTTTCCTCAGCACCTTTCACATCTTGACGAAAGCCGAGTCAG